AACTGATGCTTCCTCAAAACTGGTGAAGACGGTTTTGAGATTTTTGATACTAAATCCTGGATAATAGGCTGAACAAAAACAATACTGGCATATAATGGTCATTTGAGAGAATCACTCTGCTCAAACAGCAGAATATTTTTATTGGATGTTTTTAAATCACATACTATTACTACTATACTTTTGGTTACTCTGGTGTCATTTGAGATTTTAAGCAGAAGTTAAAGAAAGATAACTTTAAAATATTTGCACTGTAAATACATTCTGTGCATGACTGCAGTATGACTAACTGTGTTTCCTATCCTTTTTAATCACCTGCACAGCAAAGGCACACATATGTACTAGCATAATATTTAATTCCTTTTTAGTTACTCTGAAGAGAGAAATGAAGAGGGACATGACTTAGAGCACTAAAGTATTTTTACAAATACTTTCTCTATTTTCTATTGAATATTTGGAATTGACGAAAAGCTAGAGATCTGAGTTCCCTTAAACTTACATATGCTGGGCCATCCTCCCACTAATTAAATCATCATCCATGTCGAGTACATTCACATCTAGTTTGGAGAAAGATTATTCATGATTTCAGAATGTTTGGCTATTGGATCAAAACTATTTGGAAATCAAAACTCCTTGCACAGTGGGACACCTGTGGTCCTAACCCTTTTTGTTTTTCCAAGGCATTGTGCATTACTGAAATTTGGCAACAAAATGCTGAAAAAAGGTGCACAATTCTTTGACAATTCTTAGCACAAAACAGGATTTCCTAGCAACTTCCTATCATATGTTAACTGAGTCAGACCTTGTTTGGCTTGTTGGTGGAAGGTAGAAGTCATAGACTTCTCAGAAATGCCATCTGTCTATGAAATTTATACGCTGCCAATGATCCAATTGAATCCAGGTTTATGGTTAGGTAATACTATAAAATAATAATGCAATACAATAATACGTATAAAACCATCTATAAATATAATACAAGTCTTCTAATGCAGGTAGTCCTTGACTTATAACCATTCATTTAGTGACCATTCAAAGTTATAATGACACTGAAAAAAATGACTTATAACCATTTTTTCACACTTACGATTGTTGCAGCATGATCAAAATTTAGACACTTGGCAACTGGAAAGTATTTATGATGGCTGCAGGGTCCCACCGTCATCTGATCACCTTTTGTGGCTTGACAAGCAAAGTCAGCGGGGAAGCCAGATTCATTTAATAACCATGTTATTAACAACTACAGTGATTCACTTAACAAATGGGGCAAAACTCATTTAACAACTTGCAGAAAAGGGCTGAGTTGCCAGGCTTTACTTGGAAGGTAAATTCTTCCAGATGACAGGATCCCCTGCAGAAAACACCTTTCTTTGAATCCCTCCCAACTGTATCTCCTAATAGGTCAGTATTTGGTGGGTATTCTCTGTCCACTTGGGTGCCCAGATTTCTACTGGGAATGATGGTCTTTGAGATACTACCTTGAGAGATTAAAGACTTCAAAACTAGCAACCAGGCCCTTGAATTGTTTCCACCTGTGATAGCTAGAATCCAAATTATTCCCAATCATTTGACCAATCTAGCACAAATTGGATGGCCACACACACACACACCACTTCTCACCTGGAAGAGGGAGCAGGCATAAGCTCTCTACCAGTACCAGCCCCTCTCTACTATCTCTGAAGTCCTCTATAATCAGAGTTTGTAAATCTTAATCCTTCCTTCAACCATGTCTTTAGCACCAAAAGGTGAACTATCTGAAGCTGCTGACAAGTGGGGCAATTATCACCTGCTTTTTTGAGCATGGATGAGGTCTTAAAACTCCAAGGTGCAGGCTCCAGCTGATCCACCAGTCTGCTCTGCCCCCCTGTTGCCATTCAGCATTGCCATGTGGGTGCCCACATCCTCTGAGGGTGGGAATTCCTGGGTGTTTCTTGCTCTGAAGGAGATGAAGAGACAGGCCCAGCCAGTCATAGCAATGCTGCTGCCACCTGGGTGAGGGTCATGGTTAGCTCCAGTGCTTTTTTTGTAAAACAAAAGGTGCCGGAACTCACACATGTCATACAACCCGCCTTGCCTACCCTACAAGGTTCCATCCAAAAAAGGTGCCGGAACTCCGTTCTGGGCGTTCTATGACAAAAAATGCCCTGGTTAGCTCCATCACCAGCATAGCAGCACAGAATTTACAGTACAGAAACTGAGTGGCAGGGCCTCCAACCCAACTCTCTGCACAGCCATATAGCTGACCAGCAGCACTATGAGTGCTGCCATTCAGCCTCAAGTTCACCCCTCAGTCCAGGAGGCCACATACAGCAGTTCAGACCCATATCTAATACTGGTCTCCAAGCAAGTCTTCCATCCAGCCACGCAAAAGGCTGCTCCAGGGGCTCAACTCTTTATCAGTCCCCACCACCTTGCCATTTTCATATAGCCACATCAACGCTTATTCTATGACTATTCCAGTTGCACTTTTGGCCTTAAAATCATTACAAAAAAAAGTTACTCATCAAGGTAAGGTTGAGCTGAGATTTTTTTGTTCTTGACAAATACATTTTTATCACACAGTTCTATATATTGCCCATTTCCATTGCATGTTTTCCTTAAACTACGATGCATACAGATAGAAGTAGAAGCAAATAATGAACAATTTATCTAAAGGGCAGACTTCACACCACTAAGTCCTAAACTCTTGATGGGACTGAATACAGAATAATAGAGTTGGAAAGGATCTTGGAGGCCTTCTAGTCCAATCTCCTGCTCAAGCAGGAGAGCATATACCATTCCCAACAAATGGCTGTCCAATCTCTTCTTGAAAAGCCTGGGTGATGGAGAACCAACAACTTCTGAAGGCAGGTCATTCAACTGGTTAATTGTTCTCACAGTTAAGAAATTTCTCCTCAGTTCTAGGTTGCTTCTCTCCGTGGTTAGTTTTCATCCATTCTTTGTGTTTAATTAAATTTACTACTACTATTATTACTACTGCTGCTGCTGCTGCTGCTGCTGATTTTGGAAGGGACTCTTGGAGGTCATTTAGTCCAACCCCCTGCTCAGGCAGGAAACCCTGCCTATACCATTTCAGACAAATGGCTTGCCAGTCTCTTTTTAAAAACGTCCAGTGTTGGAGCATTCACAGCTTCTGGAGGCAGGTCGTTCCACTGATTAATTGTTCTGTCAGGACATTTAAATAAAAATAAAATAAATTGTATTTATTTTGTTTCCTGTCGTTTACGAAAGGCAAGGAGGTTCAGGGCATTCCATATTTCAGGAGGCAAGTTTTTCCATGGCATGGGGGAAGCTCCAGAGAAGGCAGGGATCTCCCTCCCCCACCCCCCGGCCCCCCCAAACAGGGAGATAGTGAGTTCCATAGTTCTGAGCCGAGGGCGCCAGTCGAGTTGCCTATGGGGAGAACTTCATGACGTCATAAAGGGGAATCCATTTGCAGGTTGCTCAGATTATTCCTGGGAGAGGGGAGGGGGCGGACGGCGGGGAAACAAGCGGCGCCGCCAGAGGAAGGAGGCGGAGGAGAGGAAAGAGGCGGAGCGGGAGCAAGGCGGTCTCGGCTCTCGTCTCCTTGCCTTTCCCCACCCTCCACCCCCAAACGCCGCCCCCGCCTGAAATCAAGAGCATCGCAGGCGGCTGCCGTCTTTCCTCCTTTTCCTGCGCCGCCGAGATGGACGCTGCAACTGCGGGCAGCAAGGAGCGGGAGGCCGTGCACCTCCTGGCAGAGGCCGAGAAGCGGGTCAAATCCTCCCAGTCTTTCCTTAGGGGTTTTTTCGGGTGAGCCAGCGAGGGAGGGCGGGAAAAGGGAGGCAGGGAGGGTGCAAGGACCGCTGTCATCGGCCCTTGAGCAGACCTCCGCGGTTGGGTTGCGTTAGGCCCCGGTAACCCGGGCGAAGGGAGAATTGCGGGGTGGGTGGCTATAGGGAAAGAGGGCGACCCTCTGCCTCGAAGGGGCGAACCCGAGTCAATGAGGGCCGCAGCTTTGCGGGTGGAAAAAAAAGAAACCCTTGGAGTTAGACGGTCGCACAGACCCTCCAGGGTTGTAAATGACAGCGGCTTTTTCCAGCCGGCCTTAAATCCGACGCTGCCACCTGTCAGGCGGCTGGAGAAGGTCTGGAAGGCTGTTGCAGGAAGTCCGTTGAAGTGACAGGGCACATTTCGGGGTGGGGTGGGGGTGTCTACAAAATGAGAGCAATTTTGACAAGGACACTGGTGAAATTATCATTGCAGCCTGGGAGTTCCCAGATTTTATTGCAAGCACACTTTCCTGTGGACTTGGCCATAGGTATGGAGTGTTGAGTGGAAGTCAACAGAGAGAATCCTAGTACAGGTAGTCCTTGACTTACAACAGTTTGTTTAGTGCAGGGGTTCTCAACCTTGGCAACTTTAAGACTTGTGGACTTCAATTCCCAGAATTCCTCAGCCAGCAAAGCTGGCTGAGGAATTCTGGGAGTTGAAGTCCACAAGTCTTAAAGTTGCCAAGGTTGAGAACCCCTGGTTTAGTGACTGCTCAAAGTTACAACGGCCCTGAAAAAGGTGACCTACGACTATTTTTCGTAGTTACAACCTGCGCAGCGTTCCCAGGATCACGTGACCAAAATTCAGATGCTTGGGAACTGGTCGTATTTATTCCCAGGGTCACGTGATCCCCTTTTGCGACCGTCTGACAAGCAAAGTCAATGGGGAAGCCCAATTCACCTAATAACCAGGTTACTAACTTATCTGCAGTGATTCACTTAACAACTGTGGCAAGAAAAGGCATAAAATGGGGGCAAAACTCTCTTAACAAATGTCTCGCTTAACAACAGACATTTTGGGCTCAGTTGTGGTCGTAAGTCGAGGACTGCCTGGATAGGTAAGGACAGTGAGAGGTGTAGACAAGATCTGTGCTTAAGATGGTTCAAATGTTTTTTAATTCATAATAATCAACCCTCTCTAGGGTTTGTTTTTAACATACAGTCTTAATCATATGCTAGTTGTCCTAACCCAGTACCTTCAGGCATGTTGGATTAAAAACGCTCATCTCCAGCCAGATAAGAATTAATTAGTATTAACATATTTACCATATTTTTCCTTCCATTCACTCATATCTGATTTTGAGAGACTGCCCAAACAAGTCCCTGCAGTTTACTTGGTATGGTTTTTCAGAAATGGTTTGCCATTGCCTTCTTCCTAGAGCTGAGATAAAGTGACTGGCCCAAGGTCACCAGCTGGCTTCATGTCCAAGGTAGTTTCATGGACTCCCACTTTCTAGTCTGATGACTACACCAAACTGGTGCTCCAAAGAGTTGTTAACGAGATTATAATTTTTAGTGGGATGAACTGAACAAGGAATATTATTTCAATTATTAAACACATAAATTGACAATTATGAATTACGGAGGTACTCACATCAGGAAATAGGAAGAAGTTCATCCCCATTTGTTTCCCAACCCTTTCAGCTCAGTGCAAATGGGTTTGTGGGCTGATTCTAGCAATTTTCTTTCTGATTTTTGTTATTGTTGGTGTCAAGATAAGTTGGTAGGAGTTGCTCCAATATGTGGGAAGGCAGTTTGTGTTGGAGCTGTTAGCAAATACTAATACTTACATGCTTTATGCATTGCCTGGTATATTTTACATTGGGTGACTTTATAATGATGTTAGATTTATCCATACTTTATCCATTTAGGTATGAATAAAACTATACCTATTTACCTAAATATTTCTATTTAGGTCTGGTTTGCCTATAATATGTTGAATATCAGCAAGTCATGCTCTTCAGGCTGAGTGTGAATGACAAGCAGAAGGAATTTTGGGTTCTTAAAATAAGCCATAGGCAAATTGTTGTGGCCTTTGGTTAGGAAATGTAACCAAAAAATACGGTGTTCTCTTTTTAAAAAAATGCTATGGTAGGGACCCTTAGTAGTTTTAAGGCATATTTTACTACTAATATTATTAATCCATGGTTTAAGAGAACATGTGGTTTTGAGGAGTCTTATGATTCTGCGAAAACAGTAAAGGATCAATCAATCATTACAAATTTATAACAGAAGTTACTTCTGCAGGTAAACTAGCAAGTGGAGCTGGATATTTTCTCCTACAATAACCATAAAACTGATTTAGTTCTGTCAGACTTCTCTTTTGAAATGTTTATTTTTAATTAGTATGCATTTATTTAAATTCAGAAGTTCTAGCTTGTTTTTCCAATGATAGCATCCAACTCTGCATAACCCGCAACTAAAAACGTAAGTGTGAAATAAAAAAATGTCGACAATGAAATAAGGTTCGCTTGCACTTTAAAAAGCAAAAAAAAACCACCTAGTTGTATAAAAATGATCAGGAACAGTAATCAGTTTTATATTTATTTTTTTAACAAAATTAGAAAAATACAAGATGTACGTATGTAGGTAGTCCTTGAATTATGACCATTTCTTCAGTGACCTTTCAAAGTTATGGCGATACTGAAAGAAATGGATTTATGCCCTCATGATCACATGATCAAAACTCAGGTTTTTGGCAGGCTATCCACATTTATACGTGCAGGGGCACTTCAAATCACCCCACCTGCCTATTTCCCCCCACCTGTGTCTTTTTGACTATCCTGCACCCAGCCTCGTGGGGCACCAAGCAACCCCAGAACCACATACATCTGGGACTGTTTGCCATGCCCTGGGAAGCCTCAGCTCTTCCTCCTGTTCCTCAAGGTTATTCCTATTTCCCATCATATACTGAATGATGGGAATATACATATATACATGAAGATGTTCGTCTCTTTTTATGCTTCCCTGTAACTGTACCACTGAAGATTGGTGAAATAATTGTTAAAAATCAGCATCGTGGCTTCCTACCATTCTGAGACAGAACATTACATAGCTTTAATTAAAAATTACACAATTCATCATCGATAGCATCTAATTTTCATTGACACCGGGTGGCTCACAGCATAAAAACAAAACAAGAAAGGTCAGCCCTTCGAGGGAGTCCAGAACAAGAAGCACCAACCATGAGTACAGGTAGTCCTTGCTTAACGACCAGTCGCTTAGCAGCTATTTGAAGTAATGATGACCCCCTGAAAAGATACTTAGGACCCGATTCAAGATTTCCAATGGTGGCACACACACACACACACACATACACACCATTGGTTATATGACGGCATTTTGGGTGCCTTGCCAACCAACTTATTCTTAACGCCCAGTTGCAGTATTCCATGGTCACACGAGATTGGCTCGCTTTATGCCTGCCGCAAAACAACAATGTTGTAAAATCAGGCGAATTACACGGGTGCCTTGATTTACAACAGTCATGAATTATGATGTAAATTACGGGCCCGATTCTAGTTCTAAGTCAAGGGTTACCTGTATTAACATTACTTTTATTGTAAGATTACAGTAACAGAATTTTCTAAGTCTGAAAGCCCCTTTTCCCTTCTTTACTTTTACTTTTCAGAAAACTAGGGAGGGTCACTTGTGAGATGCTTTCCTTGCCTCCTCCTGTGGGCTGAAATACCTTTTGTTTGATGGTTGCCTAGGCTGCAGCTTTTCCTCTTATCTCCCAAGGTCATTCCCAAATACCATTATTCAAAAATACAATAAAAAGAGTGATAAAAAGGTGGCCAATCCAGTTAATGCCACAAACATACCGGTATTATACATGCATAAATGACATCGACCACCATAGCCCAACACCTGGAATAAGAACTGGATTTTAAAGGCCCTCTGGAAAATCATCACTCAATCCGTCAAGCTGCAGCTTGTTTACCCCCATATCATATCCTACGCACATACTATAAGGTGGCCCCTTAACTCTGTGTAATCATCAGGTCTCATCCGTTCCTTCTCACCTTCTGAAAAACACTCTGTGATTCTCCCACCAAAGTTTGTGACTGAGAAAACACTTGTGCGTTTGCCATAAATATTTTTCCCTCATGGGATTGCTAGGCCTACGGAATAAAATTAGGACTCTGTGCAATCATACTATTTATTACTACGGATAGTTCTTGACTTAACAACCATTTTGTTTAGTGACCGAAGTTACAATGGCACTGAAAAGGTAACTTACAACCATTTTCATACTTACGTCCATTGCAGCATCCCCACGGTCACGTGATCAAAATTCAGATGCTTGGCAACTGGCATGTATTTGTGACGGTTGCGGAGTCCCCGGGGGGGGGGTCACGTGATCCCGTTTTGTGACCTTCTGGCAAGCAAAGTCAATGAATGGGGAAGCCCGATTCATTTAACAACCTATGTTATTAACTTAACCACTGCAGTGATTCACTTAACCACTCTGGCAAGAAAGGTTGTAAAATGGAGCAAAACTCACTTAACAACTGTCTTGCTTAGCAACAGAAATTTTAGGCTCTATTGTGGCCGTAAGTTGAGGACTACCTGTATAATATAGTAGATGTTTATTTTTTAATTTCCGGATTGGCAAGCTAACAGAAATATTGTCCCCCAATCCCAAAGTTAGGATAAACACCATTCTTTATTTTTGTTAAATAATTCCAGTGGTTTTTTTTTAAATTGCATGATCACATTATGAACAATTGCATATATAAATAGATCAATCCACCACTAAGTATAAATGACCAATTTAGCTGTATGGACTTTCTTAGTACCTTTACGTGCATTTGGAAAGAGGTTACTATAATATTAAAGCACTATTTAACAGCAACTACTGGTATATAATGATGAGTCTCATTTTTCTCTTTCTGGGAACACTACATCTTGCCCAGTACCTATTTATTTATTTATTTATTTGCACCCCAATTTTTGTTCTAGGAACTTACGTGGCTTTTCATGGGGCTCGCCCCTTGTTTTATAACAACAAGCATATGAAGTTGGTTGGACAGAGGGACCAATGTTATATCTAGAAGCTCTGTTGAGTGGGGATTTGAACCAAAATCTCTCCCACTCTAGTTCAGTTAGAGTGGCTCTGAGGTTTTGGTAATAATATAGTCTCCCAGGTTTTCTTCTAGAGAGGTTCCACAATCCAGTTTTCTGTGTGCTGCAGTGATCGGATCCAACTTCTAGTAATATGCGTGTGTACACCCGCGAGAAAAAGCATGATTGTGCCAGGAGGGAATATTAGCAAAGATTTCAAAGGTCTCTGTGGCTTTCCCAGGTACTCACTATGCACAATTGAGCTTCCGATGCATTAACAAAACCAAGGATTCTTTGCTTGCAATATGCACTATTTATGTGGAACTGGTTTCTGTGTTTATTCTTTTAACTTTCCTTTGTATTCTCTGAATGTGTTTCATGTTTGTTGTTTCATAGTGCCACAGTATCTATCTCCTCCTAATTCTGTGTGTCCTTTTATTTCTCCTAGAGGAAATACAAAGCTTGAGGAAGCATGTGAAATGTACACGAGAGCTGCAAATATGTTCAAGATAGCCAAAAACTGGAGTGGTACATATAGACCTTTTTATCTTCTTTATAAATATAAAGGACATGTTCGCCTGTAGATCAATACAACAGGGATGGAGGGTATTGTAACTCTTCAGATATGGCTTGACTTCAATTCCCAACAATCTTCAAGACTGGCCGTGCTGATTGGAGCTACAGAGAATTGGGCTATAGGTCCCTCAGTCTTCCTGTTAGAAAATTCAGATGCCGTTGCAATAGCTGAGGGGGATTAATCCAAAGTCATTGTCCTGAAATAGCATGCCTCAATTGCACATAGAAGTGATCACAAGCTGGGGATTTAGGTGCTTTATCTGATATTTCAAGTTGTGACTCACTAGCGCTGAATTTTAAAGCCCATCCATCTCTGCATACAGTAGATTGCCTTTCTCTGTTCTTCATTGATAACCCAATCCCTTTCCCCCCCCTAAAACGAAATAGAGTGATTCATTCTTCCTCAGAAATTATTATGCATGCTGTATTTTTGACTCCCTGGTATACAAATTGAGGAGTGACATTTTCATCATTAGTTTGTTTTAAGTAAATGTATAGGAAAATTGGTTTTAGTACTGTTAATGTCATTTAACAGCTCTCCTTTTGGTTGTCTTTATGAACTCGTAATATATTTCTGAAGGTTTGTTATAGGATCATTAACATGTCTCCCTAACAATAGAAGTCTCTGTTTCATCCAAATCAATGATTCTCAACTAGCAAACCACAACACAAAGCTTTGCCATGGATTGGTTTGTAGTGTGCCACAAGAAAAAAAGATCTTTTTTCTATTTTAAAAGATCTTTTTTCTATTTTAATATATATATATATTCTGCATTATCCACATATTCAATACAATGCAGATTTTTTAAAAAGTTTAACTTGTGAACCATGCCTTACATGTTTAAAAATATATATTAATAATTTCCTAGTGTGCTACAGAATCTACTGTTCTATTTGATATTAAGCCATGGATTCATAAAAGTTGAGAGCCATTGATCTAAATAGTGGAATCTCCACATAGTCAAACCACAGCTTATTTTCATCCACTGAGAATTCTGGCTGAAAGGAAAATAATAATAATAATAATAATAATAATAATAATAATAATAATAATAATAATAATAATAGTAGTAGTAGTAGTAGTAGTAATAATAATAGTAGTAGTAGTAGTAGTAATAATAATAATAATAATAATAATAATAATAATAATAATAATAATAATAATAATAATAATAATAATAATAATAATAATAATAATAATAATAAAGTTGGAAGGGACCTTGGAGGTCATCTGGTCCAATCCCCTACTCAGGCAGGAAACCCTATACCATTTCAGACAAATGGCCGTCCAGTCTCTTCTTAAAAACTTCCAGTGTTGGAGCATTCACAGCTTCTGGAGGCAGGTTGTTCTACTGGTTAATTGTTCTAACTGTCAGGAAGTTTCTCCTTAGTTCTAGGTTGCTTCTCTCCTTGCTTAGTTTCTACCCGTTGCTTCTTTTCCTGCCTTCAGGCGCTTTGGAGAATAGCTTGACTCCCTCTTCTTTGTGGCAGCCCCTGAGATATTGGAACACTGCTATCATGTCCCCCCTCGTCCTTCTCTTCATTAAACTAGACATACCCAATTCCAGCAGCCGTNCCTTATATGTTTTAGCCTCCAGTCCCCTAATCATCTTTGTTGCTCTTCTCTGTACTCTTTCTAGAGTCTCAACATCTTTTTTATCTGATTTCCTTCCACTTGGTTAGAGCAACTGATAATCTCAAGAGAGAGGGTTTAAAGCACTGTGGCTGAATTGAGCAGCCATGTGGCTAAAGCAGGTAGGGAAACATGGAAATAATGTAAGGCTCCTTTTCTTTGTTAAAAGAAGCAACACCCCAAGGAAGGCACCCCTTGGTAGACTTTCAGCAGCAGTTCTTTAAATTCTTTTTGAGAGAGAATTGGGGGAAGTGCTTGTTTTTGAGTCAAATGGCTACTTTTGATGTCAAAATGCTGCCCTGTTTCTCTTTCAGCTTCAGGGAATGCCTTTTGTCAGGCAGCAAAACTCCACATGCAATTGCAGAGTAAACATGATTCAGCCACCTGTTTCGTTGATGCGGGGAACGCTTACAAAAAGGCAGATCCTCAAGGTAAGGTGAATTGGGGGCTGAGTGGCCTCCTCGTGGTTTTTCTTCTTGGTTAAGCAAGATAAATAGGAACATCACTGATTATAAGGCCGTATTAAAAGAAATAAAGCTCCAGACAAAAACGACAGGCTTTCTATTGTTCAGATCGACATAAACAATCCTGAAAGCATCTAGGGAGCTTTGAGATCAATGGAGTACTGTATCAATACTGATTCACACAACTATTATATGCAGTTGTTCATTAGCCATGGTGGGATAACGGTGTGAGTGTAGATATATGTATAATGTAGTATATGTCTTCCCAATTTTTTCTCATTTGGAATATGATTAAGAAAAATTTTTAAATGATTTTTCCCTCCTCTTAAAGTAAATCTTTTTGGCTAAGGTACACCTAAATGTGTTGCTGATCATTAACTTTGTCCTGCATATATATATTAATTTGGTACAAACGTTGATTTGGACACAAAATTATTATGCACACTTCAACAGAATACAGATAATCCTTGACATACGATTGGTTGCTTCATGACTATTTGAAATTCCAACAGACCTACCAGGAGAAGCACTTATGAATTCAAAGTTCTGATGATCATTCCCCCCCCCATAGTCACGTGACCATACTTCAGTCACTTGGCAACCAGGCACATTTACAGCCATTTGCAGTGTCCTGCAGTCACATGATTGCGTTTCATGATGTCTTTGCTGAAAACCGGCATTTCAGCAAAACTGCACCATAGTGAACCTTCGATCTACTTCAGTGGTGGCGAACCTATGGGCATGGGTGCCAGAGGCGGCACTCAGAGCCCTATCTGTGGGCACGTGCGCTGTCGCCCCAGTCTTAGGCCTTCAGCTGGGTTTTATAAAACCTTTTCGCTTTAGGCCTCCACCGCCGTGTGCAAAAAAAAAAAAAGATTCAATCAATCAGTCAATTTCAACTTTTCGCAGGAAAAAAAAAGATTTTGCAAAGTTGGAATTGATTGATTGAACTTTTTAGTCCCACCCAGTCTGCCGTTACCACCGCAGCCACACCCACCTAATGAGCTACACACCCCCAATTGGCCACACCCAGCCAATGGGCCACACCCACCCGGCACCCGACGATGCATAAGTGGGTTTTGGGTTGCAGTTTGGGCACTAGGTCTCTAAAAGGTTCGCCATCACTGGTCTACTTAATACCCGGAGTGTTCATTTGACTGTGGTGTTCCTTCACTGACCATTACAAAAAAGTTCATAAAATCAGTTTTAATACTGTCATGAGTTACAACCATTATGGGCAGACTCCATTTTGGTCATAACTCACTTGTGGTATACTGGGCTTTAGAGTCGTTATTGCCTTGGAATTTCAAGAGCCGTAGTGGCAAAAGATAGAGGGCTACAGGTCGGACAAAGCTGTCTAATGTCCGTGTCTTTTATTTATATTAAAGTTCTAATCTGAACTGGATTTACACATGATGACTACTTTTCGTTGTCCAGTCCAGTATCTGTTTTCTCTTTGTTCTGACTATGGAATGGAGCATACTCACAGTTATAGAATAACAACAACAATAAAAGTTGATGCCATTCAAAAAGATCTAAAAAAGAACTTGGACACAGCAGACAAAATCACAATGAATGAATTATCACATGCTAAACCTTCTGCATGTGATTTAAGAAGAGCCACACACTCGTATCTTCAATTTAAAGATAGGACTTTTTTTACGCAGCAGTTCTGATGGAGAGACCCAAATGCTGGAAGACAGGTGTCAAATTCCTGTATATGTCTCCAGTCATGGGAATGGAGATCTCAGGCCCCTTTGAGTTAACCAAGCAGTCCTTTCCAATGAACTGCAGGTAGTCCTTGACTTAACGATCATAACTGAGACTGAATTATGGTCATCAGTCATTGCGGCCATTAAGCGGGTAACTATCAGGTGCAAAATACCAGGTCCACATGTGAAAGTTCAGTTAAGCTGATTTATTACTAAAAGCCTAGGCACATGAATCTTCTCAACTAACTGTCAGCACCTGGTTAGAGTTAGTTAAGGGACAATGGCACTCAAAGGGACTTAGACTTTGTGGCTACATAGGGATTCTTGGCTGATCCCTCCTTTTCACTCTGCCCTAGAGTTTGCCGTTCCTTCTTCCTTCTTTTGAGAAGTAAGCACTGGAAACTGGCAAAAAATGTTGAAAATTGCAATCTTTGACCACACAATGCTGCAAGTGGCCATAAAGATGAGCCAGTTTCCAAGTACCCAAAATGTGTTCATGTGGCTGCGGGGGGGAGTGGTAGTGGTGCAGCCACCCAAACTTTGAAATTGGCTTGTAAGTACCTTTTGGGAGGTCTGTCACAATTTCAAACCGTTGCTAAGCAACTGGTCATTAAGCAAGGACCACCTGTATACAGGGAAACTCCAGAAACCAGAAATCTGTATCACCCTAGAGCAGGGGTAGTCAACCTTGGCTCTTTTATGACTCGTGGACTTCAACTCCCAGAATTCCTGAGCCAGCTGGCTCAGGAATTCTGGGAGTTGAAGTCCACGAGTCATAAAAGAGTCAAGGTTGACTACCCCTGCCCTAGAGTATCAATTCCTTAAAGGCATTACTGTATAAAGAAGGAAGAGCAGAGCAGAGCAGCTAAAAGGTAGGCCTGGATCTGACTGTTGACTTCTCTATGAAGTGAACAGGGCAGTAAAGCTTTCTCACTTCACATTTTTTGTCTTTCTGTTGCCCAAAACTAAACTACTAAAATGAAGAGAGGTAGGGCTAACTAGGAATGTTTTTTGTGTAGAAAGACTATGAGATTTATTCTTCCTCAGCACTCAAACCAGAGGTTTGAATACACAATTCTTTAACCTCTGGTGTATGTTTTTGCATCACTTGGTGGACTCTGAGGCTTCACCGTATATGAATGAATGTCATATAAATTTGCCGCCTGCATTGCTGGCAGGAAAAGATGAAGAGGTTTTTGTCTTCAGCTGATCTCGCATGGAGAAATAGCTGTGAATGTGCTGATACAAACCGTCCACTTTCTTAACACTGATAAAATGATTACGTTTGGATGCCTGAGTTGACTGTGTTCATTGTTTTCCTCCAAATGCATCCAATGCAGAGGCTATCAACTGCTTAAATGCTGCCATCGATATTTACACAGACATGGTAAGACACCTGAAGTGCTAGGTTGGGATTCCAATTTACAATCTTTCCTATTGGTTTTGTCATTAATTCAAGTTGTGTTCAGTTTGTATTTGGTGTTGACCCCCTTTCACACTGGGCCAAATTCTTTTCTTCTCAGGGCCGATTTACTATTGCTGCCAAACATCACATTACTATTGCAGAGATTTATGAATCTGAGCTGGTAGACATTGAAAAGGTAAGCCAGTGTATTGATCTGAAAGGATTTGGGTGTCATTCCTAGGCGTACCTCGCTGAGGTTCCATTAAATTTGGAAGAATTGAGGAAGCCCATCAATTCATATTTCATGACTACCGTCCCAAGTTTGTTTTCTTCCCCTAAATGAAAGGCCCTGGTGATCCCAGAGCATCACTTTTGGATTTAACTCATCAATTCTCTCACCGTAAGGATCTATAGTAAAGGACATATGAAAGGAATATTTTCATATGGGTATATGTGAAAAGTTTCCCATCTGTTTTGAAAAACAACATCTTAATCAAGCATTTACCATCTGTAAACTTGGATAGTGTTAGCATCTTAACATCTTAAAAGTGGCATCGACAGGTTTTATCTCGTTCCTGTGATGGTTGGGCGATACTGTGAAAATGATGTAAATCCCTACAATAATAATGAAATGGCCTGAATCTGTCTAATCTATCAGCACAATGTCAAAGTATAATGTTGAATGTGGATATGTTGAATTCTTTTTAGGCCATCGCCCACTATGAACAAGCTGCAGACTATTACAAAGGGGAAGAATCCAACAGGCAAGTTTCCATAAGACATGTTGATTATCTAAATCTTATATTCATTCTGTTTTGTTTTGTTTTGTATTTTTCTTGTGTGACTGTGACATGAAATTCTATGATTCCCTTACTTAGGCTTTAAAAGGACTTTCAGATCCTAAAACAACTTTTGGTTTGGCATTCTATTTGCATGTGAATTGTGATATTAAAATGCAAAGCTCAGAAATATTATGCTGATGATAATTGAAAATTGGCTAGTGGCAACAGATATATCAGAAGACAGCTTGGTATGAATATCCACAGAATGAATCTTATCTCAAGTAGGTCAGATCGTTTTAGCCAGAATGCAACCTGACAGGTTGGTTTTCTTACCTGTATTTCTGTGCTCTTCAGTTCATTACACCTTTTGCTTTTAGCTCTGCTAACAAGTGCCTGCTGAAGGTAGCTGTATATGCGGCTCAGTTGGAGCAATATCAGAAAGCAACTGAAATTTTTGAACAGGTAGGTACACTGCCACTTGATTTGTTAGAGAAAAATTATAAATCAGAGGCATAGAGTACAAATTAATCAAAGCAATAACTTTTTTTTAAAAAAAGGTTTTATTAAGGTTTATTATAGCAATAAAATGCAATGAAAATAAAGATTAAAAAGAGAGAAGTGCAGGATAAAAAAAAAAAATTTAAAAGAGGAGAGAAAAAGATGTTGACTTCTGACTCTTTCCAATACAGTATAACACTAATACATTTATGACCTCAGTTTTTTTTACAGATACTCATAATTATTACAAGTCAATTCTATAACTACAAAATTATTAAATCTTCAAACTAACTTCAATCCTAACTCCAATTAACTTATTAAATTTAAGTCACTCCCTCCAGCTCGACTTCATAAAATAAAATCTTTTTCTTCTTCAGAATGTCTATTAAATAAATAAGAACTCCGCTTTTTCTCAAGAGATTCTCCAATATGACTTTTAAAACAAATATGTCAACATATTTCCGTTGTCAATTTCCATTTTGATTTTGGAGTTTCCAAACTTGTTCCCTTGAGGACTGTAGACTTACTTGCAACTCTTCTCCTTTCAGTTGCACTGGGGGACTTCTAATTAAACCATCTTCATAGTTAGCATTGGTGTTAGATTTATATTCCAAAATTACTGTTAAGTCCTTTGCATTGTCAAATACTTGTGCAGTAGCCTCAGTGGTTTGATAAGTTTCTGCACTTGGTTACATCTCTAGATTACTCACCTTTCTTCCAATTACTTGAGTAATTTGTTCCTCTTGCTCCTCTTTTGTGGCATCTTTGGTACCTACTTGAACTGTTTTGTTTAAATACTCCTCCAAAATAGTTTTTGCAATCTCTGTCTGACTTGGATGCCTTCAATATTGCTGCTTCTTCTTCTGTTCCCTAGTTCCCTCTTGTGGTCAAAGAATAATAATAAAAAAAGCTTTTTGTAAACCATTTCCTGACGAATCAGAATCCATTAAAAATCGGAAGATTTCAGCCTCCTATGCATAACAAACGATCCACAATTAATTGCAAACGATAACTCCCAATGTCAAATAAAAACGGCAAATTCATGAAAATGACAGAATGAAACTGCAACTTTGAAATCATTAATGTTTCTCCATCAAAATTAGAAAGAAAAGGAAATTTTCCAGTTTCCTTATGTTAGCTCACCTCCAGCAACCCTTCTCCCCATCATTCAACAGTAACAATGTTTCGAAAATGGCGAAGACCTTCAGAAAGGAGCAACGGGTTGCGACTGAAAATAGCGTCTTTTCGCTTAGTAAAGATAATCAAACAACATGTTTAAGAAGCGAAAGGCACGACTTATTGTCTATTTGAAAAACATATTCCAAAACAGCTGCAACAGTGAAGTGATTGCAGCCCTATTTCCCAGCTTATGAAAATCTCACCTGGCTGCTTTAGAGCACCAGTTCAGAGTCTCCTTACAGATTGCTGCTGTATGGAGGATTTTGTGGCACAATTCTGGGACTCTTCCTAACCCAGAAGAATCGTATTAATGTAAGAAGCTCAGTTCCCTGTTTTTAAGTTGAAAAAGTTTTGGTCTGGAAAGAGCTTTCTGAACTGATCAGTCCGCCACATTCATTGGAAGCCCAAAGGACTAGCCTTGTGCAGTTTGCTGAGTGAAGCGATTGGACTGAGAGTGTTTGAATTTAAACCATCAGAGAAGTTTCAGTTTACAACACACATCATTTCAAGGTATAGGTGGAAAGAAGCATCTGTATTCAAAAAGATTTCTACCATTGTTTAAGCATGGTTATTGCTTTGGGTAATTGGAGCTGAAGAGGAAAAAGGTTCTTATAGGAAATAAATCCTGAGAGTTATTACTATGCAGTATTTCCAGTGTTTAAAACCTTCTGGAATTATTTTAAAATCTCAAAATCCAGTTATTCTTACAAGCTGTTTTAATATCTAGTTTCTAAGCTACTACTATGAATGTAAGTGATGAAGTGATACGAATGCCTGGCTAGGATCGAATGCTTGAAGATTGCTGTTGATTGTTGAGCAAGATTGACTGCTTTTGCCAAGCAATAATGTGCACGAGATTCAATATATGCAAATCCCCGTTGTGGAAAAATGTGTTATGAAATTAAAAAGGTATTTACAATGTCTGGTCTTACAGAGAAATTTAAGGAACAATGTGACATTTGGGAACTTTGGAAATGGATCCTTTTATAGTGGGAAAATATGCATTTCAAAATATGAGAACAGGGATTCTCAAGGAACTAAAATATTGTTTTCAACCCTGTTCTGCTTTTTCAAACTTTATCAACAATAAATGTAATTTTTATCGCCCTAGATTGGTACAAGTACAATGGATAATCCATTGCTCAAGCACAGTGCAAAAGATTACTTCTTTAAAGCAGCTTTATGTCACTTCATTGTCGACGAGTTGAATGCGAAGGTTAGTGCAGTTTTTTAATGTACTACAAATATAGAGATCAGAATCCCATAATATCCCAAGAATAGACAAACCATTTTATTAGTTAGATACTACCAATAATGCCTACTCTTATTGCATGAAACATCACAGAAGTTCTGCTTTGTAATCTGAATACCCTTTCTGTGCACATACCCACAATCCCACAAGAATGATAAGATTGTTTTATAGACTTGCCATATGACTTAGCTGACCATTTTATTTGCCTGTTAGAACCAGAGTTGTCATTTGCAAATACAGACCCATAGTTTTGAATTCAGTATAAAACAAATTAATTCAAAAACAGTCTTCCATGTTTTCATTATTTCAGACAATAGATGTTGGAATTGGCCACAACGCCATATTTGCTGAATATGCTGGAAGCCTCATGTTTGGCCATTGCAGATGTTTCTATCACTATTACTTTACTGAATCTTCCAATCTAATACGAATGTGCAATGCAAATAATATTCACATGGTGCTGCATTTTGCAAGAATTGCAGTACATGGCAGGTTGAGAATTAATTTACCTGCTGTGCAGGAGATGCGTGGACAGAACTCAACCTAAACTGTAGATATGGACTTCATAGTATTTTTTTCTGAGCAGAAAAAAGCAACTTGATCAGAGGTGACTTTTAGTGGACTAATTGTGGGATGATACAGGCTTAAGCAGTCTCTCTGTAGAGAGTAAGGAAGATGGCCTTGACAGAGATATGCAAAGTTTGTTACCAAAGTGATGAGGGGTGAAACATATCTTAAGTCCACAATAGATATATTGTATAGTATTCAGATGGACACCTCCCTAATTCACTGAAACATAAGAAGAAAAAGAATGTTCAGCACAACCAGATCTGCAAGATTCTGTTATAGCCACTCTCAATAAAAATAATTTTAGCCTTTTTGTGGATTTGATCTGGTTCAACTAGTGTGGCTGATACTCTCTTTCCTGTTATTCCTCAGGTGAAGAACATGTTCCATTTCTGAAAAACATATTGGGAGCCTTTCACCTCTTAAATGTGGTTTAGTGTAATCCTAAACTATCCCAATATGTCACTTTACAAAAAGGAACATATGTGGCCACTCAGATTCGTCAAAATATCTGACTTTGCTTTGAGCATGACATACATAGAACCATGTATGTTGAATGGCTATTCAGCATGGCAGAGTTGGCTAGTTTTCTGAGAAAACATCTGTTATGAGATAACATCTGTTTGATATGAAGTAAATGCAGCTGCTATTTTTCAGCTGGCTCTTGAGAAATATGAAGAAATGTTCCCAGCATTCACAGATTCAAGAGAATGTAAATTATTGAAAGTAAGTGAAACAGCATGCTTTTTTTATTGTGCTGAAAACAGAATTGATGCATGATTGCTAGTCTTAATTAGAAGTATTATATATTTATTAAACAATGACGGAGGGTTATGGTCATACTGTGAAAAGAGAGGAAGAATGACCATCCCAATTATGTTTAGTTATGTGAAATATGTTTCAGGCTACTTTCAGATACCTCTAAGTTAGGAGGCAGAATATCTCTCATTATTCCACTGAAATTTTTAAAATGGATGGAACCATCCACTTGAGGTCTTATAAAACATAAGAAGCTGATTATTTTCAATACTCTTCTTTTGGAACATTATGGAAGGATTCCCAAGACTCTTTAGCTCTTCTAACAAATTTCCCGTCCTACTAATACACATGGGAATACATTACATAGACTTGAAGATACTAGAAGGCACTAATTTATGAAAAATTACATTGGAGGGTTAGTTGGTGTTTTCTTCACTCTTTCCTGTCAAAGAAAGAACTGGGTACGCAGAGGTACTGCCAGTGACAATGTTTGGATTCACCGGACTGCATTTCTGAAATGAAGGAACTTCTGGTTGGAGATGGACTGCACTGAGAAATGATGGGATTGGGAAAAGTGGTTAGGACAGGAAAATCACTTAACAATGACCACATAAAAACAAGACAGGATATAGAACATAGAATAGTAGAGATGGAAGGGGCCTTGGGGTCTTCTAGTTCAACCCCCTTCCCGTGGCAGGAGATCCTACTAGTCAAGACTTTCTTTAGGCTTGATCGGATGGATACAGATGATCATAGAAAGACTAACAAAATAACAGGACAGAGTATCAGAGTTGGAAGGGACGTCGGAGGTCCCCCAGTCCAACCCCCCCCCACCCAAGCAGGGGACCCTATACCAGTTCAGACAAATGGCTGTATTAAATGTTTCTTAAAAACCTCCAGAAAAGTCAAGTCATGTGATGCAAGGATTCCATTGTGGTTCTATAAATGCATAGCATAGGGAAACGGGAAGAACTAAAATCTTGAATGCAGGAAGGCAAATGTAATTTAGGAGGCATTGCTAAACCAGGTGGACAAAACGTGTAAGTGAAATGCACGGAGTGAAGGATAAAACTATTCAAAAGGAATAAGCCAGACAGAAGGGGAAGAGGAGTGGCATATGTGAAAACAGTGCCCATATATGTTGAGATTCAGGTATTTGAGGGTCAAGTCAAGAGCATTTTTGTGAGAACACAAAGGAGGGGAAGCATCAAAGATGTTAGGAAGGTTGGGAGGTATTATTAGTAGTCAATCCATGCAGAAGATCCGCTAAATGTCTTCCTGGACTAGTTTACAGATATTTAAGAGAAGAGAGGCATCATAATTACAGGAATCCTCAAATATATGGATATTTGTGCAAAGCTAACAGCCAATACAACAAAATGCCAATAATACCTCATTGATCTTGCTCTGATTTATTTTCCAGAAGTTAGAAGAAGTACTATTGGGATCAGCTCTCTTATATCTTTTTCTAAACAATAGGAATTAACTGAAAAAATAAAATCAGTGGAGACCTTAGAGGGAAATTACCTTGTCCTCTTGCTCAGGGTACTACAGAAAGAGAAACTGGAGAATAATTGAACATGCATACTAGAGATTTCAGAAGTTCTGGTTTCAACAAGCTTAAAGAAGTATTAGGTGGGATTCCATAGACAGAAATCCTTAGTTCAAAGGGACTTAGGATGGTTATAAACTACTTAAAAATACGATGGTGGAAGTACATTTGCAACATTCCAATGAAAGTAAAAATGGGGGACAGCTTAGGAAACTATTAAAGTTGTATAAGATTTTTTTTTATCAATTTAAGAGTTAAAAGTGAGATAAAGTAGATGACAGGTAGGTAGGTAGGTAGGTAGGTAGGTAGGTAGGTAGAGATAGATAGATAGATAGATAGATAGATAGATAGATAGATAGATAGATAGATAGATAGATAGATAGATAGATAGATAGATAGATAGATAGATAGATAGATATAAATAGATGATAAACAGATTTAGATATAGATAGATAGATGGACAGACAGACAGACAGACTATACCACAGGGCTATGTTCTGTGTTGTTCAGCATTTCTTGGGTAATAATTGGGATAAGGCTTAGAAAATACGATTATTATCAAATTTGCAGGTAGCAGAAAGATATAGAGAACAGTAAAGACCTTAGAGAACAGTGTTGATCAGTCAGAAGGATCTTTCCAAGCTGGAACAATGGGCAGATGAATTTCAACTAGGACAAACACAAAATCCTACATTTTGGTAAGAACAATCATTGGCATGAATGTAGGAATAAGAGACCATATTGGATAGCAGTGAACAACATGTCAAAAATATCTAGGTATCTTTGTCACAAGCTGAACATGAATCAAAGGTGAGATATCAGTGCTAAAAAAAATGATGCAATCCTAGGCTGTATCAGCAATAGTGTCAAAATAAAAAGAAATTGTCTTGCTCTATTTTAGGGTTGGTCAGATACATCCTGAATATTGTGCTCAATTCTGAGTGCTATGTTTTAGAAAGGTCTTTACAGATTAGGGCATATCCTGGGCCATTAACTAACAAGATGGGGCTTGCAATGAAAAATGTATGAGGAACCTAACTATAGATATGTTTAGCCTGGAGAAGAGATATCTGCGGAGAGGAAATATAACTATCCCAACGATCTGAAACATTGTCATAGAGAAAGCAGAACAAACTTTCTTCAGAAGTTTGGTTGAACATGGAGAAATATTAAAGAGCTATTTCATAATAAAAGAGACTGTCTTAGAGCTGTTGACCTTACTTTTGCTGGATGGCCATCAGTCAAGGATGCTGTAGTTATAGATTCCCATATTGAGCCAAGGATGGTATTAAAAGTTCTCCAACTTTTCCATTCTATGATTTTAAGTTCCTCATCTCTTTAGGTCTTTTGTAGTTTCCAAGCTATATTGCGTTCTTGTTTAATTTCCTTATATTAAAGGAACTTTAATATACTGGGCTACTATATAATTCCTGCTCCGGTAAGAGAGCACCTGAAGAAGCATTTTTGGACAACAAAAATAACAATGTTGTGTTTCCCTTCTTGCCATTTCCATTGCTGGGGCAGCTTCTCTTTCCAAGCTTCATCCTCCTTCATTGATACGGAATCAGTGCGTGCTGTATTGGAGTTGTCCTCAAGAAGAATTTGACATTCTTGAATACTTTTCTTAAAACTCTGAGTTGGCACTGCTCATTAAGATATGCCCCATGCTTATCTGTAAATCTACTGTGGGGACCTAAGTATGATGTAGGTACTTTGTGGGGCCTCCCTTCATGCTGGAATCTTGCTCTCTGTCCACAATGAAATCTACAGTCAGTTGGGATCTCGGAACAGTGTGGTCTTCCCCATTCCACTGCCTATAACTATACCATTATGAGGTCACAGTCTCTGAATACAATATATAGGTGGGGGTAAGCACTTTAGCAAGATATCTTTCAGATTCAACGGTCTGAATAGGAGTGAAATAAAAAGAATTGGATATTAATGGCTTTTTTTTGGTTGAAGTAGATATTTTATAAATCAATAAGTAGATATTTTATAAAATATATCTTCAGATAGTCTTTTTTCACTTGTAGAGAATATAGAGTTCTTTCACACATTCACCCTTCATTAAAAATTGTAGTAAAAAGATCATTTTTGCTGGTAATCTTGTTATATTGTCTTGCTAGAAATTACTGGAAGCTCATGAGGAACAAAATTGTGAAGCATACACTGAAGCAGTAAGTAGATCTCTATTTTAATTAAACGTTTGAACAGTTTCAGATCAGAAAAATGTCAACCTTTTGTTTCGTGAGCATTTTTGAACCACAACTGGGCTCTGGTGCAATCAAGCACAGAGGCATCAATTACAGTCCAACCTGATGCATGTCTAGTTGGAATTCAGTAGGTCTTAGTTAAATGGGTATCAGATGCACCCTCAATAAACAACATTTTGTTTCCACTGAAAGCAATTGGCTTTGAAATTATGACTAACTCGTTTCACTGATTTCAAGGGAGCTAATTTGATTTGAATCCAACTCATTTGACTTGTAGAACTTGAAGTGAGGGGTTTATGTACAATATTTTGATGATGATATTATCACACTGCCTTGTTATTTAAATTTTCTTTTTTTAAACAATTTTATTAATTTTCTGTTATTACAAGTCATACATGCTTAGTAAACAACGTATTGTCTGGGTCCATTTGTTACTCAGTAATGCATATTAACTTCCTCAACATAGATCTATCCAATACTACACAGTCCAGTGTTTTCTTGATCCTCTTCTTCCAAAGGTGTTCTCATTTTCCCAACACTAAGCAAATACAAATCTTACTATTAATACATGCAAAGTTAAGTATACACATTCTTGTCATAATTTTCTAACATTATACATAATAAAAATAGTATCAGTTTGTAACATCTCTTCTAACCCACACATTTCTTAGTTTTATTTGCAATTAAATTCCCCTTTTTAAGTCAATATCCTGATTTTCCAGCTCTTATTTAGCTTTAATTTCCCCTCAGTATTCAAAGTATCTTTCTCAGTTATAATTTTCTCAATATTATAACGTATACAAACCATCCTAGTATTTTCATATTTCCCCTATCATAATTTTAAATCATATCTTTCTAATTATAAAAATCTTTTGGTATCGAGAGGTTATCTGTTCTTTTAGCCATATTTAAACACAGGTTTATTCATATAGTGTCCCATCTGGTAAGTCAGATCTTCTGTTTTCTTCAGTCTAACTCTGGCTTTCTTCTTTTACCAAATAACTTTCCAAGTCAATGTATTTAAGTCACCAAAGGATTCTTCCTCTGTTTTTATGGATATTGTCTGAAATAGGAAAGACAATTTAGGTAAAGTATTTTTGAGGGAGAGTTCAACCCATTTATATTCATTAAACAACTCCCACTTTCCTTCTCCTTCAGATTCTCTTTTAATTTTTTGTTTTCCAATTTCTAACATTTCACAACAGTTCCATAGTCCATTCAATAAGATCTTCTTCCTTATCCTCAGATATATTTTGAGGTTTGAAGAAAAAGGATATCTTTTGCATTTCCAGTGTTATGGTTAAGTCTTCCAGATTTTATTTGCGTGTGCTAGTCTGTAATTTCCTTCCTTAGTTTATATCCTCCGTCTTTGGGTCAATTTCCTCTGATTTGTCTTCTGTTTTCTGACTTGCTTGTTCATTCTTTATAGAATGAATAGTCTTTATAGTTTATTAGTTGTAGGTTTAAGTTAAAGACTTGCTCATTTATATTATCAAACTTTTTAGTCTCATTATAGTTTCTTCTTGAGTCTTCTTTATGTGAGATAATTGCCTCTTGAATTGATAGCAGCATAGACCGCATTTCCTCCTGAAAAATATTGGCCTTTTCTTGTTGGACCATCACTCCTACAGTTCCCTGATATGCCGGGCTGGGGGTTTCAGAGGAAGATACTGGGGATGGTTTTTTCCCACTTTTAGCTAGGTATGAAACACCCATTTTGTCACCCCCTTCCAGATATACTATTGTATTCCCCAAGTATTGGCCTTAACTGACACAACCAATCTTAAAATCAACACAGCAATTCAGCAGTATCTCATAAAGTTCTTATAGTCTTTACGTGTAGCTTTTATAATCCAATAGGTCCCAAAATATAGGTCCACCACTAAAGGTAATATTTTGTAACAGTTCTTCTGTTCAGGAGTTCAAAAATTATCAGTCAACCGGTGTTTGTAATCCAAAATATTCAACCACCCTGAAAAACAGTCCACAAGTCTCTCCCAGAAAAAAGTAGCCAAAGATCAAATTTTCCTTTCACTCCAAATAGTTCTTAAAATTAAAAGTCAGACTTCAGTCAATATTTGTAATCTAGGAAGGTCAGCAGGTTTCAGAACAATTATAGCTCCCACCCTGTAGAAAATAGCCCAAAGTGTTTTTCTCCATTGCCAGCTGCTCTCTGTTGAAATAAGAATAATCAAACATCAAAAAAGCTCAACGGTTATCTAAGTCTGGGCATTCTGCCAAATTCACTCTAGCCATAACAACTATGGTGCTTTATTCCACCACTAGATGTCATTAAATATCCATTTTCCAACTCTTAAAACGAAAAGTTAATTTCTTGTACTTCACCCCAATATTCTTTCAAAGACAAAATCTTGTTTCCTCAGTTTTCAAGTTCATCAAGAATATAGCTTTGTATTACTTCCATTTTGATGTTATGTATTTATGTCCCCCATAAAGAATTAAAATACCGCTTCTGTTTCTCTGGAAGGCTGGGGGTGCAATCCCCTTCTTTCTCACGTTTGGGTTTGTTTTTTTTTTGCTTCTTGGGAATTTATCTTTTCAAGGAAATCCAATTGCAAAGTAGTAAAGAAAGGATCAATATTCTCACCCAGTTCCAAGCATGCTGTTTACAATCTGCTAATTAGTGCTTTCTTTGTTCGGTTGTCAATAGCTTGGACTGGCTGCAGGAATGCAGCCAGTCTTTCCCCTGCCAGTTTGGAGGGCTTTCCTCAGATCAAACAGATCGACCGCCATCTCTCCGTAATTGATGAAAGTCCCCTCCTTCTTCACCACCTCTCCGGAGCGACTTTAGACCCCTTTAGGGCCCCCTGGCAGGGCGAAATCAGCCGTGGGGGAGCAGAGCTCCATTTTCCCTCGGCTGCAGCGCCACGATGCAAACCAGAAGTCTATTTAAATTTTCTTAATAAATTAAATAAATGATGTCAGTGCTAAAGTAGGGCTGGGCATGGTGGGGGATACATTTCCAATAGCTGCCTTATTTCATGGAAAATTCATTGTGTCAAAATTCTCCGCTGTCTTTTCTAAGTGAAATATGTATATTTTCCGATTATTATGGGTTATCTGATTAATTTCTGGGCTATCTAGGGCGAATGGGGAGAAGTAATGGGGATTGTGTGAGTGATTGCCAGGAATCAGAAGCATCATTCACTTGAGAAACACTGACTTACAGCCTCAGAGGGAAACAGCCTTCCAAATAAGCACGCAGTTAGTCTGCAGTGGTATTTGTCAGCCTGCTGCTGGCTGAGAGGAGAAAGCTGGAAAACTAATTCTGTTCTCCCTCAAATAGTCCATTGTTCTTCTTTGGTGCTTTGTATTCTCTAGGTGGACGTAAGAACAGATGTAATACTCTCTCTCTCTCTTCCCCTAGCAGGGAATTCTTCTACCAAGGGGGAGGTTAAAAGGAAGCTGAAAAACTTGGCTCACTTGCAGTTTTTATCACCCCAGATTCTTAAAGCTGCTCAGATGAGTGGGTTGGTGGTGTTGAATGGTTTTGCAATATGTACAGTTATTCTCTTCTACTTGCTTCTAATTTTGGATAACAGAACGATGGTTGTATATTTATAGTTTCCCTCTTGGGCAAAGTTCTTAAAATCACACACAAAAAAAGAAAATGTTAATTCTGTGCTGATGCTACATCACCTGATTATTTACCTCTAACTAGGTTAAAGAATTTGATTCCATATCCCGCTTGGATCAATGGCTCACAACCATGTTACTCCGCATTAAAAAGTCAATTCAAGGAGACAACGACGGGGACCTAAAGTGAACTGTCTGTGCAGTGTGTGGCATTGTGACTTGTCTGTTGAAATATCCTGTGTCATGGCCAAGGATCATTATGGAATATATGATCAATGCTTTTTGCTTAATTGACTGGTGTCTTGTTTAATATCCTGTTGTGGCTCATTCATTGTAACTGTGAACATGAATTTATATTGTTTTTCACTTCTCAAGGGAGAGCTTATGGATTGATCCTATGCATGTTTACTCAGAAAGGCAAGTCCCACTAAATCCATGGATCTTCCTCCCTCATAAATGAGCATAGGATTGTGTAAGTTAACCCTGGAATAAGTTCTCATGAAGCCATATTCAAACCAGTCAGTCAGCTGATACTAAATTATATTCTCGTCATATGGGACTCCACACCTCTTGTCCTAGAAATAGTGTTCTTCGACATTATTTATTACAGGATCATCACAAAGGGCACAGCTTATTGAATATTTTAAAATATTAACCAATATTACGTTGTTTACGTGTGATTTGCACTACCACAGATGTAACACAATGAGTATGAGTCACAACACTGAATAGCACTGAGATGGTAACCAAAATACAAGTTATGCTTGCAATGCAATCCCAAGCATGATTCAGTGGAACAAGATTGTGTGAAGCTTCAGTGATGTTTCATAATTAAGACTAAGCCCCCAAAGGGTGGCTTCAAGGGATCAATTTCTAGCCCCTTTCACCCACTTCTGCAGATGCCTTCCCTGGTAGTCACCTAACTCCTGTCCCCCTGGACATTTCCTGGCCATCAGAATTAGTGTCATTGAGGGACTCTTCAAAGTGACACATTGCAGGATGGCTGTGTCATCTGCTCACAGCAGCAGTGATTGTAGCCCACTCGGTGCCCTGATCTGAAGCAGTGTTTGCACAGTGATCAGCTGGAGAAGAAGACCTGTGTGATTTAAGTGTGGTGAAGTGACTGCACCAACAGGGAGTCACAAAGTGACTGGGCTCCAACTTGCCCAATTTGTTCCATTGTCTGAAGTAGACTTTCACAATGGGACTGGAGTTAGCCCATTTTGGGCAAAGATGCTTTGGGTTGCACTATAAAGACAACTTGATTTCTAGAGGGTATCCTCAACAATGTTTAAATTATAACTTTGTGTTTATTTTGATGACAAGAATGTATCAGAAAAGATTATTTTATACTATAGTTATTACTTGAGACTAGTGAGAATGGCAGAGTTCTTGAAACTGGATCAGAAGATCTGGGACAATATGATCCACCGTCTGTAACAAACAAGAGAATAGATTGGAATTTATGTGAATTAATCAGTTGTAGCTCACTCTCTTTTGGAGCTGCAAAAATTTTGATCAGGGTGCGTGTGAATATATGATCTGGAAGCTGGAATTATATAATTCATTTAAAAAGAAAAATGAAAATATTTTTTTCCCCAGAAATGCTCATTCCTCTCCCCCTCTCGCTGAGATAAACCTTTAATCTATGAGAGTGTATATTTTATTTGTGATAAATGACAAAGCAAATTGTTGGATCAGATACTATTCATACTGTTCACTTTCTGTCAATATGAATCTATGTGTGATTGTTTCAATAGTTGCTGGTAAAAATGCCATTTTTATCTACACACATGGGTAGGTATGTATTCAGTAGGTATGTGAAACTACACAGCAGTCTGGGTCTGAAATAAGTAACAGTGTAGGAAGTATAGGAAACAAATTGTTTCTCCAAATTGTTTTTCTCATGTTTGATCCACACAGAATGAAGTGACGGATGCTTGATATGATAACGTTGACTACTATAGCAGATGAGAAGACCATACATGTTAACATTCCTTTACATACAGATTCCCTCAAAGGGAAAATCAGCACAGCACAACAATCTAGATAATCTTTCTTTCCACTGGTCTTGAATTTTGCTTTTTGCTTCTGCAATGGCATCTCACCCTTAAAATATAAAGACATACAGGTAATTCTATCTACCTTCTTTTTTCTGCTTTATCAGACCTTTGACCTAGCTTCTCGTGTATTTTACAAAGATTTTGTGTGTGTGTGTGTGAGAGAGAGAGAGAGAGAGAGAGAGAGAGTTTCATTTTCAGCTCTGTGGGTGACAGTCATCTGAAGAAGTCTTCACTGTGGTTCTATAAGGACAGAATAAGCATATCATTGGCTGTCTCATGTTGTTGCTGCTCCTCAGCGTTGTTGAAAAAAACAGTAATAAGCTGCTCTACAATATTTGCACTCTTAACTTCCATTCAACTTATGCTTTTGGCTAGGAGAGTATTTCACTAGTATTTCTCAGATGGCATTGGCAATGAAGCATAGATGTTAGAAGGAACACAGGCAGCCAGTGGATAATAGATGTGGGAGATAAGACATATATTTATGATATGACTGCCATACAGGTATATCTCGGGGCTTAGTCTGCTGCAGCCCATTCAAATGAAGTGAGTCTCGATCTAAAGAGGGTTCCAGTAGAAGATCATTAGACAAAGTGTGCTCCCTAGCATTGTAGTAGAAAGACTGATCTATACCTAATTTTTTAGCTTTATACTTGGCACACAAACGTATGTATTATTTAATTAAGCTATAATAACAGAATTGGAAGGGACTTTGGAGGTCTTCTAGTCCAACCCCCTGCTCAGGCAGGAAACCCTATACCATTTCGGACAAATGGCTGTCCAGTCTCTTCTTAAAAACTTCCAGTGTTGGAGCATTCACAGCTTCTGGAGGCAGGTCGTTCCACTGGTTAATTGTTCTGTCAGAAATTTCTCCTTAGTTTTAGGTTTGTTCTCTCCTTGATTAGTTTCCATCCATTGCTTCTTATCCTACCATCAGGTATTTTGGAAAATAGATTGACCCCCTCTTCTTTGTGGCAGACCCTTAGATACTAGAACACTGCCATCATATCACCCCTAGGTCTTCTCCTTATCGCTATCTGTGGTGGGTGATTTTTAGTGTTGGAAATCCTTTAAGTTGGAAAGGTCTAAAAACATTATGCGATCTAGAGTTGGGCTGGAGGGGGGAGGGGGAGCCATCCAGGAATGAGTTTAGAGAGAGATGCAAATGCATCTCCACTTCTACTTTGTTGGAACTACATCCTTGGGCATGTTGGACTGCCCCAACCTTAACATAAAATTACATTTTATGTCATTTCATCAACTGAAAATGTTTACTCGAAAGCAAAAAACAGCCTCTTTGAGTTCTGCAGGACATCTTTTTGGAATAAATGGCTCTGGTTTCCTAAGATTGATATGAGCACAAAATCAAGTTTGCATTACTCTCCAGTGTACTGAACAGAACTTCCCCACACTTATGCAGTGTGAACGCTCCACTTTGTGTGCCACTCACTTGTTTTGAGTGTTTGTGTATACGTGGCTGAGTTGCTTGGACTCACTCCTCCCAAACAACAAATGCCATTTCTTTAAGCTAAAGACAGTTATTTAATGCATGCATGTTTTGTCTGCCAGTATTAAGATACGAGCCACTGTTAGTAATATTTAGGGCCATCGCTTTAGGTTTCAAAAAAAACCCTTCACCTGGTAAGTTTTGGAAATATTTCAAATAAAAATCCACCATTATGAAATATTCAGTGTTGAAGAGATACTGTAGACATGCTTACATTCAGTCACTGACAGACTACAGTCACAACATAGTAATACATTGGTAATAGAGTTTAGAAATCTGAAACTTTCTGGATGCACACACAGCAAATTCATTATTGCTTGTATAGGTATAGAAGTGGCATCACTCGGTCCGTTCTCTTGGATTTTTGTCTTAAAAGCTGGAAAATACTACACTCTCTGAACAGCTGTAAGGTTGCAACCACTGGAGTTCTTGGTATCATCTTTAATTGAAGGAGCTGTAATTCAATATACTGATGATTTCATCTGTTTGCATTGCTTATTGTTGGCAGTGTCATTAAACCAGTTTATTACCCACTGTGAAGGCAAAGTGTGTTTTTACTAATACTATATTTTTTTCTCTTCATAAGAGATTGTCAGGCTGGTACAATATTGTTAGTAATACAATTAGCAAATAATTCTGAGAGTTGTGCAGAGGTTCAGATTTGAAGGCCAAAACTGAATTTGGAGCATGCACATGGCATATATCCCAAAAACGTAACGCAGCCAGGATTTTCTCCAGATTCATTTGCAGAGGATACATGAACTTAAGAAAAAGTGTATTTGGTTTAAGATATTTCCTGCAGATGCCAAGTGAGCCCCACATAACATTTTGCCCTTTAATGCCAAGCCTAACATATTATTTTGGTAAATAGAAAAAAATTAATAGTTGAACAATTTATGACCCTAAAAAGGAGTTACTTGTGAATAATTTTAAATTAAAGCATTCAACATTTGTAATTGCATTTTCTCTCTTCACAAGTTTTGTAGATTTTGAATGAATGAAAAAGCCTTTCCTAACACAGTTCTGTAATGGCTTTGTTGTAGCACTTTTTGGCTTAGTGTACTGTATGAATCAGTTTAATCAGTAACCATGAGTAAGCAAACTAGGCATAAGCAGCCTCAGAGTATTCTAAATCCAGCCAACTGTGTGGTTTATTCAATTACCTTTGCTGAAATTAATCTTAATTTAGCATGAAATAGCACACCAATGTGAACAGATGCCATTTCTACACTTTCCGCATAGAAATTAGTATTTAGCAGGTAGAACTAGGTCCCTTATGTTCCTTTCTAATTATAACAAACTAAAAATTCTCCAGTGTAGCAGTACCTTGCAATACAGTGGCTGGTTTTGCTTTAAGACCTAAGTGGCTTAAACATTCTTCGGTAACTGCTGAATTCACACCAAAGAAACCACATTATGGTTTAGCATGCTGTGAAAACACATCCTGTAGTAGAAAGCAGTTCCATTACTTTTGAAGACAAATATGAATGCTTACAATGCATATAAATTACATTTCCACATAACTCAGCCTTCTGGATCACGATATTTTCCAACAAATGTAATGTCTTTCTCTAAATAAGTAACTTGCAAAAAAGATGACTTTCTTTAATTTTTTAATAAGGCCAATCAATGTATATAAGTCCACCTACTTTCACATTTATACAGTATAAAATAATGATCCCTATCTATTGGTACTTAAGGGCTGAAATATATCCTACAAATGTATTGCAACTGGTCATTAAAATGCAAGTCAAAAGGCGCACATGGTATACAAAATAAATATGTAAATATAACCTCTGGATAGTATTTCTAAAAACATTCCTTTTACCAGATTAAATAAAAACAGAAGAAATGACATAAATCTCTTACTACAGAGTTTACCTTAAAAAAAATTATATCTAGGAACTTTTTATTGCTTTTCCTTCTGAACAAATAAAATATTAGGGCAAAAATTTTAAAAGCTAATATAGCAAAGTTGGCCTAAATTATTATTCTCTATAAAGTGATTTTGAATTCAATGTAAGGAAAGAGGAAATTTTGAGGATACACATCTAAACGAATCAAAAACTTTACCAAAGGGTACAACCAATATCTAATTCCAACGCAGGAATAAATCAACTTTGAAAAGTAGCAGACTAAAAGCAGCTAGCATATTTTCTGAATCCACAAATGCCTTGATAAAAATGACATCTTGCATGCTAAGATTACTTCTGTGAAAATTCTGTCCCTTAAGATAAAACAATTGTGCCTCTCTCCAATTTACCACATTCTTTTGTCATAAAGAGTGCAGGACCCAACACACATCACTAGTTGCATCAATTTCTGAAAGGGACAGCATATTAAAAAAAATGTCTAATAAAAGGCTTGACAATGTCACGTGAGCGAATTTCCACTTTTGAAATGGGATTCCCCCTACTTTGTTGTCTTCTGCATTTTGTATCTATCTTAAAGATGCTGCATCTTTAAGATTCCCACAATCTTCCAAAGAAAATTTGGGAGTGCACAGGGAATGATAGAAATTACAACTCTTTAACTTACCTTAGTTCCCCAAGGGTAGAAAAACACCAATATTACCGTAATATGCATGATTTGGAAAAAAAGATTTAACATGTTGATGTTCTTTTAAATCTAAGGATGGTTTCTAAATATAAAAATTAAAACCCAGAATACTAGCAAATTCAGGACGTAGGTGGAATTTCAGATTCACATAGACTTTGGCACTACTTATTTCCTGATTTTAAAAGTAAAAAGGCACATTACTGATGCTTTTTGAGTTAAAAGTTTTCATTTCTACAACCTGTATGATATAGGAAACTTAACTTTCACCTTTGGAGCAACTATTTTATCTTGGTTACACTGCATGGTCTCCCGAGCTATGAGTACTGAAACATAATTGACTGACTCTATTTGTTAAAAATCTACAAGTTTTCAAATGGTTCTTCCTATCTAAATTTCTATATTGCATTGTTTAAAATGTCAAAATGCATTGTAAAAAAATGCATTGTTTAAAATTTGCCAAAAGAGATGAAGTGTTTCATAAAATCATAAATCCAAAGCAGGAAAATTACATCCAGAATAGTTCAGGCACCACTGCCAGAAATCTGATGACTTTAACTTTCGTAATCCAAAATAGTAATATAATAGGGCAAAGCAAGGTAATTTAAAATAAATTATCTACAACTAGATGTACCATCTTTGAAAAAAACATTTCTAATATCTTCGGGCAATCTGTTCTAAGAGAATCCTGCCAATGAAAGTCATCAAAATATAAAACACTCTTCTCCATGTGCAAATTCCAGTAAGTAGAATACAACAGCAACTGGGAAAGAACTTCTGGGGCGAGGACAAAGAATCACAAGTGCTACCTTCTAAAGAGAGATTCTGGGCAAAGAACGTAGAGTAGTGAGAAGACACCTAGGGTGGATGCAATTAAGATGAATTTATAAAACAGAGGTGGGGACCTATAAATCTCTAGATGTCAGATAACAATTCTCAGTCTCATTAATAATAATTCTGGGTGGCACTATGATTTGTAACTTAGCATTATCTCTAGAAAACCGTCAGTTCCTTACCTCCGTAGTAGAGATCACTATCATATGGACAAATCAATAGGAACTGAAGAAAGAGAGAGCTAGCAGGCTTACCTAGGAGGGAATTTAGCCCTAGAACACGGGTAGGCAACCTTGGCTTTTATGACTTGTGGACTTCAACTCCCAGAATTCCTGAGCCAGCCATGCTGAGGCGAAAGGAAGAGGTTTCCAAGCTGAGCCATGCTGGCTCAGGAATTCTGGGAATTGAAGTCCAGGAGTCATAAAAGAGCCAAGGTTGCCTACCCCTGCCCTAGAACAAAGCTGCAATTGCAGTGTGTTAAAAAAAAATGTGTTTAAAAGTTTTTTTTCCTCCCCAAGAAGTAGTCTGTCATATTGATTACATGAATGTAAGAGTGCTCCATTCCTTTTACAAAGCCAGGTCAACACACAAATTGTAGGGGCAAATAAGGTTTCCCCTTTCTCTCCCCTCTGTGGTGATTGTAGACATCAACTCTGGAGAATATCCAAAGTATCAGCTGCAGGTTTTTGACAGGTGTAAAAGGGCTATGTGAGGGACGTATTTAGATTCAAATGGTGAATTTCCTGAATTTCATCAGAAGAGAAATTCTGCTGTTTACAAAAACATTGTTAGATATTTCCTACTATCTGAGATTTCTTTAAAAAAAAATTAAACTGCACAAAGTATTGGACCGAGAGAGACATTGTGCTACAGTATTTCACATTCTTCTGCATACAATATAAAAACAATGTTAAATAAGATGTAAAAAAAGGAAGCTAACAGAATATAATGCTGAGAAGTAAAGAAAAAAAAAATCTGGACTCGAACAGAACCTCCATTTTCTTTTATACTGATTGTGATCTGGACCTCTACTTTACGCAGATAAAACATGAGAGTACTTTTCTCTTTGACAAATGGGTTAAGTACTGACTTCATCCATTTGGATTCAACTAATTTGGGTAGAATACAGGACTCTAACAGCACCTTTTTACAGGTCATTGTACTACAAGAGTTTACACAATATAAAGTAACTTTTCCCTTGTTGAACTCCTCTACTCAACTGGCGGACCTATTCCATGTTCACCAAGTTGTGAAGAGGTGGTTGAAGCGAATCTGTCTGTGTGTGCAACACTGTCAGATCATGCAAAGCTGTAGCTATGGGGGCTTCTTGGGACCCCGTTGCAGGCCTCAATTTACAGTCTGTTACAGAGGAAGATCCATTTTCATGCACGGCAGTCATGCTTTCTTGAACAACCGTCAAACTTTGATAGTGCCCATTTTCAGAGAATGGCAGCAGCTTTTCTGATAATTTGGGATGGGATCCATCGTATTCTTCATCAGGAAGTTCAGTCTTGTGATCCTCATCATTCTTAGAAGTGCCTTCAACAACTACAAGGAAAGATTTCCAGGGTGTGTTCTTATCATGAATCTATTTAAGAAAAAAGAAATTACCCATACTAAATCACTCATTAGTACTCATTGGATTCTACAGCACTTTCTGTAATCTGAAGCTGTAACAAACCAACCCCACACACAGAGCTTTAAACTCTGATACAGTATGGAGCAGATTCTTAGTTAAGTAGTAGCTAACCTAGCCGTTCTTTTTTCATTCCCCCAAATACAGCAGAACATTTTGGAGAATTTTATGAGGTTTATTTATATTCATGTAACAAAGTCTATTCTAAAGAAAATTTAGAATTCAGAGAACAGTGGCAATTAAAATGTTCCCCAAGTGAAGGGAAGGTGTGAAACATTACAAGCAAACTAAAAATAATCTCAAGTATTGAACTTGCCTGTGCTTATGTGTAAATTATTTTCTCCTTCAAGGAAAAGCTTGTGGGCTTTTTGATGGCAAAGATCAGGCTCTGTATTTGAAGCCCTTTGTGTATCCCATTCCTTAATTGTGCTGGAATGAGTTTTTGTGGATTTTCAAAACAAAAGCCAAAATTGTCGCGGTATTCTGAAAAGTCTGTTTTGGCAGATGTCACCAATCAAGAGCCCAACAATCCAGCAATAAGGAAGGTATTTCATCCAGAGGAATGGAAATATCCTCTGCTAATATGTTAAAGGTTCCCATTTGCTTCTATCTGCATAAACTGCTCATCCATGAAAAGATCTCCTAATCTCAGTATCCAAGAGGCAACCATATCATATTGTGGGATTCATACTAGGTAACCATTCCTATCCTTTACTGCAACAGTAACATGTAATTGAAAGTACACAACAAGTGATTTTCATGGAAGTGCCTGTTCTCCCTTACTGAGGTATGACGCCGAAGAGTAGACTTGTCGGTGAATGTCCGCCCACAGGCATTGCACATGAATGGCTTTTCCCCTGTGTGGATCCGATGATGGCGTTGCAGTGCGTTGAGTTGAGTGAATTGCTTACCACACTGATCACAGCAGTATGGACGCTCACCTGTAAGATAAAGCACCTACAGAAATCATGTGAAGTTTTGCCAATGAAATGCAGGAACGATCTGACTGAAAGCCTTGGCTACACTGCCACCTTGCTGAGGTTGCTGTGCTACTCAGCATATTTACACTCTAACTGAAAGCAAAAACAAAATGTTACCAATTGGAGATTATAGAAAAAAATTAGGATTGATTTCCTGAAGATTAATCGGGAGATTCTTTTCAAAAGAGGCAAAGAATATTAACTGTAATGCAGTTAGAATACAATGAAATAGATTCTTATATACTTTAAAGAGAAAAAGGCCTAAAGGCAGTGATGGCGAACCTTTTAGAGAACGAGTGCCCAAACTGCAACCCAAAACCCACTTATTTATCGCCGGGTGCCAGGTGGGTGTGGTCCACTCGGTTGGTGTGGCTGTGGTGGTCATGGCAGATTGGGTGGGTGTAGCCAAGGCGGGTGTGATCACATCGACGTTGCTCGTGGGGAGGGACGCCTGTGGGGGCCGGGCAGGGTTGGGGGAGATCCAGGGGGTCTCTGGCAGGTGGGGCGGTGGGCAGGAGGCTCGTCCTGTGGGGTGAGGCAAGGCAAGGCGAGGCAGGGCGGGGATGCCATTGTCACAGGGCAAGTAGGGGCAGGGGTGGCTGCTGCCTGACACCATCGGCCCCTGCACACAGAGGCCAGGAAGTGCATGGTGCTGGGATGCATCCGGCCATGTGGGACCTCGGCGAGTTAGCAGGTGGCTGGTTGAAGAGGGATGGTTGCCATCTCCGGGGCATGGTGTGCGTGCCCACAGAAAGGGCTCTGAGTGCTGCCTCTGGCACGCGTGCCATAGGTTCGCCACCACTGCCTAAAGGTCTGAAGAACAGAATTTCAGGAAATAATATATGAAACAGGAGTTGGAGAATTTGCAGGTAAGCAAACCCAACACGAACAACTCCAAATTGTTAAAGCTAAAAAAAGTAGCAGTAATCAGTGAAGCTGAGAAGCAGGTTCATAGATGTACGTATTAAAAAAAAAACCCTGAAGAACAAAAGCAGATAGAGTTTAATTTAGGGACAGAAAGTTCAGTCAAAAGCAATCAAGCAGAGGAAAGCAAGATTATTTTCTGAAGAGTATAAAAATTATAAAAGTATAAAAATTAGATTCAAAGACATTGTGAAGAAATATTTACAGTGGTGCTTAAAAGTTTTGTGAAACCGTTTGAATTTTCAATATTTCTGCATAAATAACCTAAAACATTATCTGTTCTTTACAGAAGTCCTAAAACTAAATAACACTACCCCAAGAAAACAAATGAGTAAAAAATATGAGATCTGGAATCCCAAGCTACTGAAGATACTGTATGTTTCTAGATCGTATACTGTATGTCAAGATTCAAACTATCTTAAATATTAGATTTGAAACAATTATTTCTAACAATTTGAACTCAACTACAGTTTGTTTTAAGTAAGAGATTACAGCAATCTGATTCATAAAGCCACAAACGATGGTTTATAAATCACTGTGATTGGCTGGGCAAAAACCCAAGACACTATGGTATAATTCAGTATAGTTGTGAATTCAGCCTGAAACACAAGACACTCTAGTGATCTGGCAGAAAAGCACTATGGAAACCTGGAAACTGTAAAAGATGCTTCCATCATCTGATAAAACTAAGGGCTGCAAGAAGATTGGCATCACCTAGCAAGAACACTTCAGAGAATACTCTCTCTTAAATTTTCCCCAATTTTTTTTTAAGCCAAACATTTTCCTAAGTTGCTTCTGTAGCTTCCTACCTGTATGAACTTTGATGTGCTGATATAGCGAATTCCTCTGTGCAAATGTCCTGAAACAAACTTCACATTTAAAGGGCTTAGATCCAGTGTGGATTCGATTATGGTGTTTCAAATACTCCTTGGAGGCAAAGCTCTTCCCACATGTTTCACACATGAAAGGCCGCTCTCCTAGAGCACAAAGGAATTGGAAGAAAAAAAGCAGAAAGACTGTTTTTGCCAACGCCACACACATGAACATGAGTTTGCATACAAGGCCAACCCACACACATGAACATGAGTTTGCATACAAGGCCATCCATTTCTGCTTTGTCTGTATAAGAAACTTCCCATGACCATCGTTATGCACAAATTCTTTGGGGCCTGAGAAACAACTTTATGTCACAAAGTACATCATCTGACACATCCTCAAAACAGTTTAGCCTCTACGGTGTTAGGCTATATTTTATTTATTTATTTATTTATTTTTTAAATTTATATCCCGCCCTTCTCCTTACGGACTCAGGGCGGCTAACAACCGGATAAAAATACAAAAATAACACACTACAAGTTTAAAAATTAATTAAAAGGGAAATATTAGTAATTTGGTCTAATTAAAATTATAATTAAAACCCCCTCTAAAAGTTTCCCCTAGGCCAGTCCC